TGGACATTATAAAGATTTTGCATGTGAAGTTTAAAAAATTTCTGATGCATAAAGTATTTTTAATGTTAAAATGAAAATTACTTTGCATGTTGGATAGGCAACATGTGAAAAGAAAAAAAAGGCATGAGAAAAACATTGCTTTACAAACCTTAAAATTTAATAAAAAAATTGATATTTTGTGTATGAAAGCATTGTAATATTTACTGATAATTTGCCAAATTTCGTTAACATTCACTTACTGATTTAAATGTTATAGCATGATAACTATAACAAGCACAAAATGGTTACAAGGTTGATCCCAGGGACTGAGCCCATGCTGAAAGAGTTAATTAGCAAAGTAAAAATGGGATAGTAGTTAGTAAGTCTATACTAATGAGAATTTACTTATGTGGTAACAATACACATCTACCCCATGTGTAAACAGCTTTACTCTAAACAAATAAAAACGAGACAATTTTTTACAAATTGGTGGGATGGAATAGGACAATTAACCATATAAAGATTATGCACCTGCCTTCTGTAGAGACCAACCATAACATTTCTATATACCAAAGCATTTTTTGGGCAAATTCTACTGGACAACAACAGGTAGCCATATACTGTTTAAAAGAAACTCGTTATATGGTAGAGAAAAAGTCATGATTTATCAAAAACTTATTGTCACCCAGTAGTTTAAAGTTCTAATTAACTAGCAACAAATTTTCTTGCCTGGGAGACATTTCTGTTGCCCAATCACTATGTTAAAAAATGCTCTGCTATATACTATACTAGTCATCCTTGGCCTGTATTGCCCAGGTATTACCTGAACAGGGGGGGGGGGGGTCGATGCTTAGCTATTTTTAAACAGAAAATTTCACTTTCATATAACAATACATGTCAAATAGTCATATTTTTCCCAGTTCAGACCCAAAATAAAATATCTTTATTTCTTTGCCAATGAAGGTCTCATTTTCTTGATATTTCTTGCGAACAGCACTCCGCATGGTGGATGTGGTCACTGTCTCTACAAAATTGTTGCTCTTGCTCAGTCTAGGCCTGACGATGAGCAGCTTGTTTTTTCAATGGCTTTTGTTGCATTCATTTTGCCACTTGTGATTGGTAATCAGTTTCTTTTTCTTGACATTTTACTCTGAGGTACATAATCAGTGTCAGAAATGTTTATCATACCTAACTCCTCTGTCCCCTCCCAAAATAAAGTGAATAAAAACCAATTTATTTTTGCAGAATTTCACAGGTTCAACTTGTCTATTCAGTAAAAAGTTAGTCTTGTTTGTCTGTAGACATGACAGCATTTAATGGATTTTTATTCTGACACCATAACAGCAGCACACCTCTTTATAAAATAAAAAAATTTTTCTGATGTCATTTCCACTAAAATCAGACCAAAAATCCAGTCTATCTTCTGTGGGCCTCCCAGTGGCACAGCGATATGTCTGTGGACGTACAATGCTAGAAACTGGGTTTCGATACCTGTGGTGGGCAGAGCACATATAGCCTATTGTGTAGCTTTGTGCTTAACTTCAAACAAACAAACAATCTTCTGTTGAAAAAAATTAGATTCCAAAGTTTTCATTGACACTAAAAATGTAACATCACAAACATTAAACCTGAGTACGCTGATTCCATATCTTTAAAGGCCTACTATTATAGGGGCTGATAGGTGTAAAAACAACAGGGAACAGTATGCTCTAAAATATGAAATGATTGAAAATGTTCATGGCTTTTGTCCACTAAAACCTATAGAGAAAGCCAGGGCCAGTATTCATTACTGATGGTTTATTCTTGAAATTGATTAAGAGGAAAATAATTAAAAAAAAGACAATCAGGACATACAAAGATGGGATTCAGATGCAGTCTTTCTTACTGTGCTTATTTTGAATCTTGATATTATGACATAAGAAAAAAAACATATTTATATGTTCAACTTCTAGGTAATATATCAATATATGGGAACAAACTAAAAAGAAGGCTAACATATTTTCAGAAACTTTACTATGTATGGCTTTTAATGCCAACTGATATTTCTTTGAACATTTGAAAGTTTTACACAACTGTTTGTGAAGTGTTAATAAGTTTCTGATGTTGTTAGATTAGTCATTAGACATAAATATAAGTGCCTTCAAACTGCAACTTGAAAGCATAGCTCTCACACATACACTAATCACTTTGATGACAAAAGTTACACCATTTCCAACATGTTTAACACAAGTGCCCTTAATGTAAAATAAGTGTTAAACATTAAAGTGCTGAAACTTACAACTGAGAAAAATGTGTGATTTTACCTGAAAGATCATAATGTCCTTGGGTGTCCAATGTTCTTCTGTTTCACTAGTTACAATTTCACCTGCTTCATCTCCAGCTATGTCAATTGCCACAACTCCCTGATTTTTGAATTCAACACACAGTTGAAGAACTTCCTCAGCCCATTCTACAAAAGGTTAAAAAAATAAAAATATAACATTGAACATGTACCACATCAAAAAAAAGTGGATGTTAATAAGCATTTATTCTCAGCAGTTATGAAATTTTCATAGTTGACAAGCATAACTCCAATATCATGTAATACTATGTAAAGAAGACAAATACTGGGGGAAAAAATAATAATATAGTGTTGCGTATCTGCTTGTTTGTTAATTTCTTGTAGAAATTATTTCCAAGAAACTTCAGTGATACAAGTCCTTTCTTGATTAAAACTAGTTTATTCTCGATACAAACTTTGTAATACACTTAATAACTTTTATAACACGCTATAAATCACAGTGATTCACACACACTTTACTTACAGTGCCTACTGTTTGCTTAACTCAATTATCTATCTCTATATCTATCTCGCTGGTTTTTCTTGCCAGGCTTATATACTAAAAAAGAGGGCGTCTCGAATGCATTTGGGCCTTCATGATCATTCGAGAGCCTCCAGCGCACATGCTCCCAGCATCGCGTGACTTCCGCTGTCGTAAGAATAGGTTCCTAAACCAAACTGAACTACTCTGTACACATACACTCTACTTAAATTCTGGTAGGATAAAATTCATAAGATTTAGATATACATAAAAAACAGCAGATGAGATGTTAAATCTTCCATAAAAGTTTAATGACAAAGGCATATGTAATCTGGTTTTCAGACAAAACAAAAAGACAAGTGTACCTTTAACAAATAAAGATTTTAATTATTTGCTTAAAATAAATTACTGAAAAGCTATTACAGGTTATTTAATGAAAATACTCTATATAAGTACAGAGGGTTTTATAAGTATATTGACATATATATTCATTTAATTTACTCAAAACAATTTATTAAAAAAAGCCACACAAGTAGTCAAGGTAAAAATCAATTGTACAGTAGAACCTTGATTAATGGACACCTCAAAACAATGTGCACTGTGTCATTAAGGGCAGACATTTTCAGTCTCTTTCTTTTTTCTACTATTTGTAACCAAAATAAATATTGCAATAATGGACACCTTGATATTCTGGATTAAGGGCAGTGTCTTTAGTCTCATTCTCTATGCGAGCACTCGATAAAGTGAGCAGTTATCTTTGTATATCTATAAATTACAAACATCCCAGAAGGATAACCAATATTCAAATACTTGCGATGTTTATTGGATCAGCTCCGAACCATATACTGTAATAAATGTTTTCACAGATTGAAAGTGCGATCTTATTACTCTAGGTAATTCTCACTCTAAATATTGTAGGATACATAAAGTGATAAATTCCACATCATTTTCTTGGAGAAGGGGTCAAGTCGGCTTATTTCTGTGCATGTGCTTTGTTGCTCTTGAGAGCATTACGGTGTCACGTAAACAGTCTAATAACACAAGTAGTGACTTGTTGCTTTATTTTCAATAGATTTTTATTTCAGTCATTGACACAAAAAATAAATGTCAAAAGTTTTGCAATTCAAACTCTGAAGAGAAGTACATTGAAACTTTGTGACCAGTAATAAAGAAAAAATAGCACAGCTAGTCTACCCTACTCCCCAAAACCTCCTGCTGACAATGCTCCATGTCATAGCAACATGCAACTCATAAACACTCATGTCCTGTATTCACCAGACAAAATGGGGGGCCTTAAAATTTAGAAATTTAGTAGTCAATATGGAATCCAGCATTGTGTGGCTCATTTTTGATATTAAGGGCACTTTACTACAGAGGACATTTGAACATAGTCAGAAGGGTGCCCTTAATGTCAAGGTGCTACTGTATTTGTAAATAAACTTGAAATCACACTGCTGTCTCTTAGTTCAAACAAGAACATAGATATTACTTGTAATAAAAATACTTATGTATTTCTAATTAAGTTGAAAGGATAGAAAAATTGTCAAAATAAAATTTGCAATTATACTGTATAATTAAAAATGCAAATTTTTTTGTCCATCAAAAAAATGAGAAACTTGGAAAAATATGTAAAATATGATAAAAAAGGTACATGTTAGTTTGAAAATCTTGTTTTTAACTCTTTAATCCCATAAATTTTTGGATGTTGTTCAAGAATTATCATCATGATGTTCTACTAATTATCAATATACCTTATAAAATTTCCAATCTATTTATAAAAGATGGATTATAACACGATTTGGATTAGTGTTCAGCCAAAGAGACATAGATGTTATCGGACGCTATCACCATCCAACAGGATTTTCAGCTACACACTGGCAGCATTCACTCAGGTTTAAAAAGAGTTAATATGCATGTTTTTTATTACGTAGTAGTGCTCAGTACAGTGTATTAAACTTTATCTTTCTTGTTCGATCACATAAGATTCTCAAACTTACTTAGAACATAACACATGTACACTGTACACTACATTATAGCTTCAGTCAAAATATCAGTTTATATCGTGTAAAATAAATTGTCTAAATAACATGTACTAATAATAATGTGAAAAACTTTGACTTTTAAAATCATATCAGTGGCATATGATATAAATATCCATACTAATTATAATTAATTACAGCATAAAATGTTCTGTTTCTTAACTTACAATATTCAGACATATTTATGAAAAGAAAAACTAAAAAATTTACAACATTAGAATTAATTTTGCAAGTTTATAAAACTGACTTTCCCTTATACAAAGGGCAGGATGTATTCTAGTGGTTAATGTCAGATTGTGGATTCAAGAGTCCACAACTGAAATCACATTGCTCAAAAAATATACAAGTAAAGAAAAAAACTTTTCAAAAAGGGAAGTAAATGTTGGGATGGCTAATATCAATCCTTCAAAAACAATGTAGACAAGATAATAGGGATGGCATTTGCATCATTCCTACATAATAACACACACAGTGTAGTAGCATGTTAATAGACAAAAATAGGATATATTAAACTCAATCACTATATTACTCTATTACTATATGTTAATTCTTGCCTGTGCTATGATGTAGGGATGATATACGTTTGCATTGTTTTTGAAGGATTGATATTAGCCATCCCTACATTTACTTGTTTTTTCTTTACTTGTTTGCTTGTTGTTTTTTTTAATGCAGTATTTCAATAGACATAGGAAGGTTGCATTTATAGCCATGTTCTAAATGCAATGACGTTCCAACTTTAATATTTATTGTTTATCTGTTATTGGCTGGTAATTCCTGTTTCACCCTGTACTTAAGTTTTTATAGAAACATCAAATTTATGTAAGAAAGCTAACTACAAAGTGTAATGATAACAACATTTACACTATAATTATGATATTTTTAATTACTACTAGTTAATAATACTTATAAAAGTGGATACTTCATTTGCAACTAATGTCACTTCAGTGAAATTGGTTCACACCATTCTTTTGGTTTCAGAATTATCAGGTAATAAAAAGAAAAAGACAAAAGAAGAACAAGAAACCTTTTGCTATGATATTTACAGACATTTCTAGAACTTGTGACTCAGTCATTACATATATATTGCTATAAAGGAATACACAGTATAGCATTGACGACCTATTGAGAAGATATTTAAAATATCATTTTGATGAACAATCCAAGCCATCTCTACATAGATAGTGCTCCTGCCTGCCTAATAAACAGTTGTGACTAACACTTTAATGTTGTTGACTAAGTACCTTCCTCAAGTCTATCAGTTTAAAATTAAGAACAACTAGTGCAGGTGTGTGTAACTTTACATGAATATCTAAAACAAACTTATCCAAGTAACATTTACTATGTTGGTATTGTATTTCTAAAAGAAATGTCAAGACTCAAATGCTTTCATATTAAATTTATCCACAACTAAAAGATTGTTAAGGAACATAGCTTCAGTATATTGTAGTTTTCAATATACTAAATAAATTCTTTGGCATAAATTTTCTAAGTTTTTCAGTGATTTCTGAAGTTCAAAAAATAACAGTAATAATGTTTATTTTATTTTATAAGGTGAGGTTCATATTCCATAATTTTGCTTTTCAGTAATAACAACTAATATGCGAGTTATCCTTTAATAATAACAATAATCTGTTTAGTATTTTTAATAACTACAGTAAATTTTTCTTTCTTCTCCAAAAGAAAGTTGATGAAAGTTAATCTACAAACGTTTGTGAAAGCATAGTAGCCTTCCTCTTTTCCTTTCCTTCCAATCTGTTAGAGAAATAATTTGAACAAATTAATTATATCCTTTATTCATCTGCTTTTCTTTCATTCTGGTGCCTTGTCATTGTTGGGATTAAATGTCAAATTAGTATGATAACGATTTAAGCAATACCTGACTGTCCAACAATACAACAGAGAATTGCTCGAGCCTTTATATTAAAGTCTTTTTCTCCTCGTTTTAAGCCCTTTAAAATGCTTTCCACAACTTTCTTTGGTGTTACGGCTCTGTCATCATCTGGAGAAACAATTTCATCTGGGGGAAGACCATCGGTATTAGAGCAAAGATGGGGAGAAAAACGAGCTTCAAAATAACATACACCTTGTTTAGCTTGGTCTTCACACAGTTCATAGGCCACTCTCTCCAGGGCTTCAGAATCACCACTAGAATATAAAACTTTTCAGCTTAACTAAATAACTACTATCATAATTTAAACTTAAAATTAAAAAGTAGTACATAGCCCATAATCAAAAGTTATCATTTTCTTACACTGAAAATGTATTTCTTATAGGTACTTACCTCCTTACACACAAAAGCTATCTTGATCATTGTCTGCCCTCTAAGCATTGCTAAAATAATTTTTAGTAATCAGCACACCAGTCTTTATACCCCACCAGTTTTGCACCATTTCAGAACATGTAAATACTCTACACCAATAGTAATGTGCCACCTGTAACTAGCTCTCTCTGCTTTTCCTGTTCAATACTCACTTTTGAAAATTGGCAGGTACAAGAATATAAACACTAATTTTAGTGAGGTGGGCAGTTGGGAAGTGAGAGGAGGTAAGTTCCTATCAGAAATACATTTTCAGTCTAAGAAAATGTTAACTTCTTAAACAGATATACTTCCACTCACAAAAAAGCTAGATCCCCTCACTGCAAAGGTGAAGGGCCGGTGTAGGCGCACACAGAATAAACCAAGCTGAAAGAGACCATCCAAAATGAATAGGTGTGCTGTGGATGAAAATGAAGCATACCTATGGGGTAACTCACTACTTCTGGAACAGGTATGCTCTTCGTCCAGGAATGAGGAAAGGAACACAAAATGGGCAAAAAAGGTTGTGCTTACACGATTGTAAAAGTGTTATGAAGATGCAAGCTGTAGCAACATATAACAAGAAAAAAAAAGTAATAAAAACAAATGTCTAGGGCATATGGACTATGTTATCGACACCATACAAACCCAACTGTAAGTAAACAGAGTGCCATACATCAAGCAACTAAAATTACAAAAAGGAAGTGAGCAACAATAATAACCAGACAAACTCCCAAAATTACCGTGGGAGCAAGAATTATGACTAAACCGAACCCAGCATTACAAGGTCTTTGCATTGCCTCAACTCAACCATAAGACAGGGAAAGCTGTAACTGATATTATAGGCAAAATCCTAACTCACTCAACCATAAATGAAGGGCAGAGATATCCTGTATACAGAATTACAAAAAGGACAAGCAGCATTTGCCCAACTGTAAGAACAGAGCACAGACGTTCTGTTGCTGGTATTACAAGGCAGGTAAAGTCTCTCAAATCCAACCGTAAAAGCAGAAAAGAACCTTCTGCAACTGGAATTAACGAGAGGCATCTACTTCCCACAACCATATGAACATATCATTGTCATCCTGAACTTGAAATTAGGTAAGGAAATGGGTGTGAAAGTCAAAAAACAGTCACTGGCAGCAAAGGTCTTAGGGAGAAAGGGATAGAGGATGACATAGGAGGAATGGTAAAGATGAGAGACAATGGACAAGACAAAACCATTTGTGAAGACAGAGAGTGGCAACATCTGTGGAACAAGGAACCACTTTGTGAGGAGAATCTTGTTGGAAGATAATCAAACCACTACCAGATGGAAGGAGCCAGGAAAAAGGCAGGTGAAGACCATGATGTGATGACAGTGTGCTCAGAAAAGAGACCCAGGAATCAATACCCCCTGGCTCAGTGATATAAGTGATCACAGAGGTGGGAATGTACAATCACCCCCTCCTCATACAGGAAAGAGGTGGAACAAGACTTGATGAACCAACCTTGGCTTGAGAAAGGTGATATGTAGAAAGACTCCTTGACTGACCAAAGACAGGAAACTCCCAAAATTTGAGGTGAGAAATTCAGCCCTCTAAAAGGAAGTATAAGAACAGATGTAAATCCAGAGGAGGTGGACTAAGCAGCACACCATCGCTGTCTGTAATTTGTTTAACCACCAAGCCAAGAATCCGAGGAGAATCTCCACTGATCAAGGAGTGTTCACCAAATGAACACATACGAGTCCAACCCATGAGAATGAGAGCTTCCAAGAAAGTCCACATCCCCAAAGAGATAGAACTGATCAAACCATAAGAAAGGTGAGAGACATGTGACCTGCTTGCTCCTAACTCAAAGAAAAAGAGAAAAAGGCTAGGGTTATTGAGAAGAGTCAGAATGGACTTCCTCCTTCTCACAAGAAATCCAACCCATTTTACATTTTGTAGGATCAGGGGATTGTGGACTCTGGACTGTGAATGGGAGGAAGGAAGCAGGTGCCAGTCAAACTAAAAAAGAAAGAATGTAAGACTCAAAGAGTGAAAACGTCTGGCCAAAGTTTGTATTCCCCAACAAAACATGTAAATAGCTATCTAGGATCATGAACATGGGAAAATAAACCAAAGTTATACTCAGCCGTATGAACAGAAAAGAAACGAACATGCCAGTGAAGTAATAGGGCAAAATTTTAAGTCCCACACTGACAAAAATTAAAAAGGGATGAAAGGCACAACTGAACACTCATGAAGAAATTCAGGTGGATATTACTAGTACTAATGATATGTAATGTACCAACTATTGACATACTCAGTAAACAAAGGACTGACAAGCATCAAATGGGCAAAGTATCAAATATTTCTTGTCCATAAAGAATGTAAAAATAATGAACATGCCAACTGACAGAAATTACTTAGAAAACACAACTGAACACTCATGAAGAAATTCAGGTGGATATTACTAGTAGTAATGATATGTAATGTACCAACTATTGACATACTCAGTAAACAAAGGACTGACAAGCATCAAATGGGCAAAGTATCAAATATTTCTTGTCCATAAAGAATGTAAAAATAATGAACATGCCAAGTGACAGAAATTACTTAGAAAACACAATAATGAATAATATCTAAGGTACCAGACAGAGAAAGTAACCTAGATGATAAGGACACAGAATTAGGTCCTACACTGACTAAAATTAGGAAGAGAAGGTACATAGTTAACAATGATAATAAAAATTATTCAAAGAGAACAAAGAATTATTTGTTACTAGTAGTAATGATATAGAAGGCACAAACTAATCAAACATATGCAATTAACAAAGTAATTATATACGAAGCAGACAAACTATCTAAATGTACCCAGTCCACAAAGTATGTAATAAAAACAAACGTGTAAAGAGACAAAAATTACAGAGAAAATACATAAATAATCAATATCTAACACACCATTCCACAAAATTAACTGAGATGACATGTAACGAAGTCTGGCACCGACATAAATGGGGATGAGAAAGCACATAGTTAATTATGTTAAAAAAAAATACAAACAGAACAATGAATTATATGTTACTAGAAGTAATGATAAGTAAGGAACAACCTATCAAACATAACAAGTTCATAAAGCACATATAAATAGGAAACACACAAACTATTTAGATATACCTAGTCCACAAAATATATAATAATAATGAATGAGTAAACCAATGAAAATTACCTAGAAAACACCTGAATAAGCAATAACAAATTTACCATCCATTGAAAGTAACCCAGATGACAAAGGACACCAAATTAAGTTACATAATAACAAAAAATTGGGATGAGAAGTCACATAGTTAACAATGACGAGAAAAAATAACACAAACAGAGCAACAAATTGGATGTTACAAGATGTTAAGATATGTAACAAAAACACAATCAAACATGCTTAAGGTAAGTACTTATTAATAACAAACTAACAAAATATGTAAAATTAATGAACATGCATAACAATTAAATTAACCGAAATCACAAAGTAATGATCAATATCTAACATACAATTAAACTAAAGAAACGTAGATAACACAGTACACTTAAATATCTAACTTACCAAATTCCAAGCACTGATGATGTGAAATAAGTAAATCTCTTATGTGTAAAGAAAGGCAAAGTGATGCAAATGGCATCAAAACCAGGCCTACCACAGGTATATCAACCTGCTGTGAAGTGTACATGCTGAAAAACTTACCACAAATCTCCTGGGAGAAATTCAAGTTGGAGGAAGAAAGGAGGAGAAGAACAAGTCTTCCCCAACTGAAAGATGTGGTGGCCGGCAACTGGGGGAAGGTGCCTTAAAAAGGAAAGACCAAAGTGGCAATTCAATGAGAGTCCTCTTCCTCAGAAACAGTGTCATGTTCAAAAGAAGAAGAAAACGCTGGCCGAATGCAAGACTCTAACTCCCTGCAAGCCAAAGCATTACTTTCTCAGCAGATAAAGTTGACCTCGTGTCCTGGAAAGCCATGCAATGTGCACTGTCACCTGTCTTCTTAATATCATTGTCTGCTACAGGAAACCTCGAAGTCATACTAAAACATGTAGAATTCAGGAATAAGAAAATTTTGAATGCAGATTTGTGGCAACAAATGAAATCAAACATGAAAATTAGAAATTATTGAATAAACTTCATTGCAAATGGCAACAAAGCACAATAAAAAAACTGTAGTCACACTCAGAAAAATTAAATACACATCTAAACTATGTCATGCCAATCAAGAAAGTGGGGATTGAGCGGGAATAGCAGAGGGAACTAGCTGCACTGTTATAGATGGTTCAATACTACTGGTGAAGAGTAGTCACATGATATGTACATGTTCAGAAATGTCACGAAACTGGTGGAGTATAAAGACTAGTGCACTGATTACAAAAAATTATTTTATCAATGCTCAGAGGGCAGACAATGATTAAGATAGCTTTCGTGTAGGAGGAGGTAAGTCTATTTCAGAACTACAGATGTTTGATGTTTATTCTTAATAATAAACATATTTATATTGAAATTCATCTCAGAATTGTAACTTGCACTCTTTCCTTTGCTACATTTTGAAATTCTCTGATATCTTACACTTTTCTAGATGTTTACCATTATTTACATATAATGAAGTGCTTACTAATTATCAGACATCTTTCTGTTCTTTTTTTAACTTCTATTTGTACAAAGCTATTAACAAGTTTTGTATAGTATCATAGTATATTTTTTGGAAGTTCAATATATTAACATGTTCAAGAACCAAAATAGAAAACATACCAGAAAACCTGAATAGATTGTTATTTATGTTTCCAAATGGTTATAAACAGTGTTTGAAGTGGAGGAAAAGGAGGAAGCAGGATGGTTTGTGAAATTTTGCAAGCTGAGAACTGTATCTCTTGTTTTTCATATGTATTCTTTATTCATTATTATAAAAGTAACTAAAATGTAAGAAATTTAATAGGCTAGATAAAATTAGAGTGGGTAAGATAACAAAAATAATTATACACAGGAATTACTTGTAAGCATTACATGCATTACATAATTTGATACAGTAACATGAGCTGAATGTTCACTAAGTGATTTGCGACTTGTATGGTAGGATTATTAGTTAGACACGGTTCAAAGAACAATAAAATTAAGTATAAGCAGATGTATACCATTACGAGTTATAGTATTGAAACTCTAATGGTTATTTTGTGGTTACAAACTTGTTCATACCAACCAAGCTTTTAGCCAGAGGTTTCATTTGCTTCATCCATGTACCACTTTGTCTCATTTCTGCCTCACTCTTACATGACATTTTAAGAAAAAATATAGTTTCTCTTCCCAGTCTGTTGCTGATACAAATACTAATTGCATTATCTATTGAACCTTTCTGTTTTGAGAAGCTTACAGTCTACTAAAAGGTTTTCGGCCCTCCTGAAAAGAAGCAGAATGACATCCCACCCCACTTCAAGCACTGGTTATAAATCATAATACAGAGAGGGATAAGTTATATTTCAACACAAAAATCATTCAATCAAAATATAAACTGAAATTATTTAAGGTTACCACAGAAAATGTGTTAATGATGAAAACTTACAGTTCTGTAAATATTATCTTTCTTGTTTTCTATTCTGTAGTAAATTACCCTACTTTTCAGAATTATGTTTGCTTTAATCAGGTATAATAAAAAAAAATAATATTTCCACTTTTCCATGATTATTACCAATAACCAAGGTTTGTAGTGATTTAAAAAAATTTTTTTTTACATCAACTGATTCAATTCAGGAAAAGTGAAGATTCTTTACTGCTACATTGATTTCTAATTCCTTTTAAATCAATCAGTAATAAATTTTTAATTTTTTATTTTTTATTTTTAATCTAAATAATTAATTTTAATCCAAAAGAATGTGCAGAGAAAGTATTATTGATGCACTTATCTTCTGTTTTGTTCTTGATGCCATATCTGCATAACATGTTAAAGATATACAATTGCAAATTGCTTAAATGTATAAACTTGTTACTTTACACCTTTATTGTATAAACAGAACTTATAATTATACAGTGAAATATTTATTACACTTTTTTCAAACATTAAATTTCTGAAATATTTTTGATTTCAAATAAAATATTCATAAAGAAACAAATAATACTCATAGTAGACGATTTCTAATTCTCAAACAAAATTATTTTTATGAAACAATAATTAACCTTATTACTTACATAATAGTTGGCATAAATATATGAAATGGCTTAAGGAAATCTGACAATTTCTTTGGTTTAGTAATAATTAAAGTATTTTTCAAGTCTTCCAATGTTGCACATCCCAAGTCAATACCCTTTTTCCTGGGGAGAAAAAAAGGAAATGTTACAAGAAAAAAACATAATTTACAAAAACAGCCCTGTAGCAATTAATTGAATTAGCTGGACCTCTAAACATTTTTAATCTGATTAAATGGAAAAAGAAGATATATGTTACAGTAGCAATATAAGAATTCAATGAGAGCCTTTCTTCTTTTTTCAAAACATAATTTACACTCATTCCAATGCTCTCTCTCTCTCTCTCTGTGCATGTGTGAAAGGAAAGGCTGGGAGTAACAGCTAGAGTTCTACCAGAAACGATTTTTTATCAATAGTTAGGTTTTTTTGTTGTGCTAATTATGAGAATTTTTAGTAGTTGAATTTTGATAAATTATGATGCATCACGTACCTTTCATTTTATAATGTGTATTCTATCTGAAAATATAATTTCAGGATTCATAATTACTTCTGTATAAACAATGATAAAATAATCTGTTTCCCCATTAGCTTTAAAAATACATATTCTTCAGTATATATCTTTAGTTCTACATGTTATTATTCAAGTTAATACAAAATGTTGTCACTAAGTAATGGGTAACAACACCTATTACAATGAGTAAATTTTAAATCAGTCAAGGAAATAATTTTTGATATTTTAATAATGCTCATGTTTTAAAGCTGACCTTACTTCAATTAAATGCTAAAACCATAAAATGTATTAATATGTTAAGGGTGTGTAAACACAAATTATGAGCATCTGACTGTTCCAAAATCTTGACAATAGATCACAGACTGTAGCTGATTGCTAAGGAAAGTAGTTTACCTGCATTTTACTTTACTGCAATGTTTTACTAGTCTCACAGTGAGCTTTTGTTCTCCTGAGATGACAGATGAACTCCACTGAGTTTTTTATATTGTGAAAGAGTATAGATTGATTGTTTGTTTATTTTTCATAGTTCAAAGATTTTGGATGACATCAATGAATCAGTTAGCCTTTTCTATTTCTTGGTTATGTATAAACTTGTGAAGAAAATTGCTTGATGACCTTTTTGTGTATTGTGTACTGGCAGCCTGAATTATTTTGTTAATTAAGTATATTGATGTAAATTTTTTCTGTTGTTTTTGTGAATGAACAAAAGCTGTGTGTTACTTTGCTTTCATTTACTGTCTTATATATATTTAATCATGTGTTTTTGCTGCTATAGTAGAGAGATTGGTCACAGAAGTTTGAAAACACTGTGGAACCAGCTGAAATCTGTCCATATGAAGTTCAAGAATAATAAGTAAAGTTATTGTAATCTAACACAAAACTATAGAATTTAAACCTATTTTTACATTTTTACAATTAAAATGAATTTCAAACAGGTACTTACATCTGAAACATAGTTTGCCTCTTCTTGTTAAGTGGGGCTCACCTATCAATGTCACATGATCTAAAATTCTGAATGTCCTTGATGCAATGTAACACCCATGTCATACCTATCCATAGTTCTCCTCTCTACCACCTTCCACCTATTTTATTTCCACATGTATCAGGGGACTACTTAATCTCTACCATCTAGCCCAAAGCCAGATTTTTTTTGCAGTAATGACATGAAATCTCAAATCTTCCTGTTGGGGATAGGCACATCAGAATGTGTTTCAGAGGTAAGAACCTAATTTCAATTAATTTTTCAAAATTCAAAACAAGCAGCCCTACCTCTGAGACAAAGTTTGCCTGAATACCCACAATGAACAGGAGGATGAAATCAGAGAATGTGACAAGCTATGGACAGTGAAGGACTCTACCAATATCAATCAATGGCTGGTGGAGTCAAGCAAGAGAAATAAAAAGCAGAATGCAGACCTAACTACATAAGCCCACAATTTAATGCATAACAAAACAGCAACAACCGACCATGAGAAAGCATAAATGTTTGCCAAATATTATTCAAGTTTTTCAGACACGAAGTTTTGCATCATTTATCTCTCGAACAATAACCAAAATAGAAATTAAATTACACATAAATCAATTTAAAAAACACAGCCCCAGAGGAAGATGGAATATGTAACATTGTACTGAAAAATGCATCAAAGAATTTAATAACATATTTATGCTCCCTTTACAACATTTCTTTAGCATCCAGTTATTACTCTGAAATAGTTAAATCAGCAGTAATTAAAGATAGTAAAAACCTCAACAATCTTAACAACTATAAGCTCATTGGTGTCCTTAACAGTGTTGGAAAATTACTCAAAAAATATTATCAACAAAGTTATTATAGTACCTAATAGACATACAAAATGCATCCAGGAAGAAATGACAAACTGCCAACCATTTAGTAAGGCTCACCAGATCAGTATTTCAAGGTTTCAATGAAAGACATACAATGATTGCAGCCTTTTTTAGACATTTCCAAATCTCTTTTTTGGATCTACAATTTGGTAAAACTCTAAACCTAAATTACTACCATGTTTGATTGACTGAACTATTTGATAATGGATTGAATCTGCAATTAAGAAGAAATGGAGAGGAACAAGCACATACAGAGAGTACATGATAACTAACATGGACAGATCCATTGTATAAGGACATTTAGAAGAAGCAATCTTCCCACAAGGATACATGATCACCAAGGAAGCTGTTAGCTGAAGAGAGAGCAAGATGATGCAAGTAAAACTATAACATTTATTAGGAGTCATGGGATGTCCTCTAAAGAGTATCACAACCAGAATGCTAGACATCTCCAAATGTCAAACCTGATGCAAAGAAACCCAAAATTCATCTTAAGTGATTGGGTACACCCTGATAAGCAAGATAAATCAACTGATAGAGCTAATTCATTAAAGTTGCAGGGGCTAAACCCAAAGAGCAGGACTTATCATAAGGTATAAATAATTTTTTTATAGTTTCCTGTAAGAGTTAGGTGTGAGAAAGGTAACACTGAATAGCTAAGATAAGATAGAGAAAAGTTTATCTAAATGGGAATCAGGGACTGAAAGGGCAGATAAAATAAAATGAGAAAAACAATGGTAACCATTTCAGGTAGCCCAAATTTTATGCAAACATTTCTGTCAGGATACAAATAGAGCAACTGCCTGTAAAACAATGTGCAAGATGAATCAAGAGCATAAAGATCATAGAGTCTCCTGCCCAACTCAAGTAAAAGAAGAAAATAAGTTTTAAGCAACAGATAATAAAATAAAAAAGAAAGACTCAAATGGTAGGGAAGCTAAACGTTGGAATATAAGACTCAAGTCTCACGTTTGGCAGTGTCACGGCATGTGAGGATGTTGAAGCTAAAAAGTATAGATATAAGTGAAACACTATTCACAAGGCATTGAAAAATGGTTAATAAAGTTGATCTATATCTAGAAATACAAAGTGCAAAAAGGTCTCTTTTCTTGAAACAGATACATGAAAAAGGATGCGACCTTCTGAGGAGTTGCTGAAAGACAGGAAGCAGTGTTAGCAACAGCAGTCCCAAAAAACAATCCAACAGGATTGGTACACTGCAAGTGAAGAATAGTGGCAAGACCTTTCTAACATATGAGGAACATAAGAAAAGAATATTATGTGTCTTGCAAAAGACTGGACAACAGTCAACCATGAAGACATAGATGTTGAACCTCAGAGTGTAAGATAAAAGTTGGAGTTTGATAATGAAGTTTGTACCAAAGGAGAATAGGATCGTGCAGAGAGAGAGAGAGAAAAACTACAGTTGTGAAGCCAAACGGAGCTACGAAAAGAACTAAACAAAACCTCGAAGGAATGCTGTCGAGTACGAGAAGAAGAAACAGAGGAGGGTAGGCACAAAAGAATAAATCCTTAAAACTTTTGACTTAAAACATTCATGGCCTGAGCAGAAGGATCTAAAACTGGGAAAAAAAGGGCAGATTTCCATTGTTTGAAGTGATGAAAGAATGAGCCATAGGATGTCTGAGACAATACCACACCCAACAGAAAACAGATGGGCAAAGAATCCACTGAGTAGGAAAAACTCAATGACCCTGTGAGATGGAGCCACCTGAATGTTCATCACATTCAGCACACAACAAAAGCAAAGATGAACACCATAATAGTAAACCCACAGTAGCAGGGAAACAATCGCTTGACACAGACTATGAGAATGAGTGCCCCTAACAACTGATATAAAGCACTATTGTGGAATTGCCTGTGTCTATTAAATACACTAATTTGAGAGAGAGAATAATAAGCAATGGCATGCTTTATGGACAACCCAGAATTCAAAAAGGTTGATATGAAATCCTACCTCAAAAGGGATCCAAATACCGAAAATGTAGTTACCTTCTAACCCCACACCTCAACCTGACAGAGATACAGCTGTGAAGAGATGAAGATCTACTGGCACAAGAATAAAAGGAGACCCCACAATAGTTAATCCCTGATCCAATCAAAATTGAAAGGAAACAAGAGTGTGAAGGGAGAGAGGTATATGCCATGATAATGGGTCACCCTTCATTTTCCACTGAGACACAAAATCCCATTGAAGGTGTGTATATCAGCTTCCCTGAAAGGAAAAACACTGAATGGGAAAGCCACAGTCCCAAAAAGTAGAGAGCTGTACATATGGCACACATAACCTTATTACACTCAACTCTACTACTCGAAGACTCATAGGAGAACCAAATGAATCAGGTACTGAGAAGGGATCAGCTGAGATTTGAAAATGTAAATGATCCATCCAATAGACATAGCTCAACTGGGTGGTCAAACATGTGTGTGATTAAGCCTGTGCAGATGAAAAAACAAATATAAGTCATTAATCCACATAATAATGTAAGTCTATGCTGAGTGAGTGTAGAAGTGGTGTCCAGAAACATAGTAATTAAATAAGCAATGGTACTATCTTTCCTTCTATGTCAGATAATTCTGTTAGAAAGGCAAAAGGGTGGCAAAGGAGAAGCTAAATTGGTTGAAGTGTTCAAAGAAGTAAAAGTAACTGGTTGACTGGACCCAAACTGATAATGAGAAGATAAATGACTGAAAGATAAAGAAAAAAATCATCAGCATTGTAAATGAAATTAATTCATTAGAAATACCTGCAAACATAAACTGTTTCTGGAAGGAAACATATTCAAGTTCGGCTATTAACAGCAGAGAGATTAATACCTCATAAAACAGCAGTAAAAGTGATTGTATCATAGGAGAAGTGCATTCAGTCAACCAAGAAACTACGTCCACAAGTGCAGCTGACAAAAAAAAAGACCATCAAATGGAGAAAAACTGGGCAGAAAAAGCTAATATCAAAAAGAGACTTATCATCAACCAAAATTATGAGCAATGTCAAGAAGGAAAAGACATCCACGAACATTTTCCAACCAATAAGAAAGTTCAGGCTCAAATAACTGCAAAGTCAAATGAACAATATTAGAAGTCCCTGATATCTACAGAAGGAATATGAATAAAATGAACACTGATTTCTGAAAGAATAAGCAACAAATCTAATATCAGGGAAAGGAGAGATAAAAATTCTAAACCAGAATCAGCTAATGTAAAATGAGCCTCCTCAGGTATTTAGAAATAGGCTTATTATTTGAATTGTCAGCTGAATCAAGTAAGCAAGTTTCATTAGGTTGAGGGTCATTTTGTAAATCCTGTTCTTCAGAAGCAGAAAGCAAAGAGGCCTGGGCAAAAGACCAGGCCTATTCACCAACAAGCAAGTAAGGACGATGTTTCAAGATCTTGGCATTGATCTGAATGAGAAATCCCATAGAGATAACCACAGGTGACTCAGCATGCACATACCATGTACATTGATCATCAAGGGCCAAGGCCTACAAAGTAGTTACTTGAGTCAAATGTGGAATTGTGGCTTTGATCTGGAAAGTAGAGCTTAAGCAGTCACCCAATGCATGTGCAAATAAGTAATATGGAAAATGAGAGAATAGAGAACTATTGGTAGTTATGATCATTCAGAACTGTGGGTCATGTGACTTTGACAAAGCAAGTTATATTCAACAAGAAGAGACAAGCTGTGTTTTAGAAGTAAGTCTGCTTGTCTTGAATTGTACTCGTATCAAAGTTACATAATTTATTTTTTAAAAGTCAACCTAAGCAATATGAATGTAAGCTGACCAATTTAGAGCAATTGCTAAGAGTAATTATGTTTATGGAAGACAAGGTTCATTTCCAGTGATGAGCCAAGATATTACTGGTATAACCAGCTTTTCACTATAAAATGAACAATAACGAGAATAGTGAACACTAACTGTACTCAAGGCTGGATTAAGAGATATGAAAAACAATAATAAATTCTGATTCATGTTGTTTGTTTGTCTGCAAACACGTTCCAAAATGTTAGAGCTAGAAGGACCAAATCTGGTAGGAGGACTTGGGGTGGCCCAGGATGTGCCCTGATCTATGTAGTATAGCCCCCTATCAAGAGGTTCCAAAATGCACCTAAAAGGTCATCTGGACATGACAGGGATCTAGATGTAGATTTTCAGGGTTGCTGCAATATAGTGTGGGTATTTTACACTAGTAATAATAATAAACATAATAAAGGCATATTTCTCACAGTTTTGTAGGTATTGTATCCCTTCTTTGAGAAAAATAGAAAGTTGGAGTCATTGTACCATCCTTAAAAAGATACATATTTAAATTAAAAGTTGTAAACATTGATATGTATATAACTAGGGTATGTTGGTGGAGGCAAGACACTTCATGTCAAAAGCTCCCAAAATTCTTAATCCAGGCTTGACTGCAGTAACAACTGCCCATTTACAAGATGTATTTAACACAAGTTCTTAAATGTCAAAATTAAGGCTTTAATAAAAATTTGGTCACTAAGTAAAAATCATAATAAACAATAAACATTTTTAAGAGTACCCACTGTGCTAATTCCCAGATGGTGGTCAAGCGTAATGAACCATCTAGGTGCAAATGAAGTTCAACCTAGAAAAGAAAGAGCAATCAGTTATACCAACAGGAACTGTTAAACTACTAACAACATGGTTAACCCATGTTAATTCATGTGTATGTTACATTGGTGTTAAAATCACATTGATATTAATGTAATAGAAGATAAGTAGGAAATAATATACAAATATGGTATAAATCTACATTTGACTGCAGTAATTTTGCTGAATTACATATAGCTTTTCAGTCAAATATTTTTAAAAAAAACTCATAATGATTCACCTTCAAACAGTTCTGACACCTTCAGTATCCACTCTTAAAGTAAGAAAGCAACCACAAAAAACAAAACAAATTCAATATTTTAATAATTTGTTGCAAATTAATGTTCACCTTCAAAACTAAATATAAAAAAAAACAAATTAGTTAAATATTGCTTGTACAAGATGTATTCATTTTTTAGTCAATGTTTCAGACTTCCATGCCATTCCTCTGAACTAACTAGCTGATTTTCAATGCTGAAGCAACTTCTGTCAAATAGAGAAGTTAGAAAATGTGTGGAAACTACAATAAATGTACAAAAGTTATAATTTTCCTGTACTGAAAATGTATTTCTCACAAAATTTGCTATTATCGTTCAGTGCTGCCCTCTATATGCAAACTTTTTCTTTAAGCATGGCACAAGATTTGCACTCCCCCCCCCCCTTGTTGGAAGTACTATATTCCAATATGTCTCTCATGCAAATCATCATGCATCATCCCTTAACCAATAGTAGAATGACATTCTCACATGACGTATGCAACTTCTTCCACCAAACATCCACTTCAACGATTTGTCAGAAGGTTTGAGCACCGGAGAAGGGTAGGAGGAGGTAAGTACCTATCAGAAATACATTTTCAATGTAGGAAAATTATAACTTCTGATATGGTACTTACCTCCTCTCACAAGATTTGCTAGAATCCAACATTGAAAAGGAGGAGGGACCAGTGCAAAGGAACGAAAGAAGTACTCCCAAAAGCATACCCCTAACAATGAGAGGTATAGATGTAATGATCAGAAAAGGGGAACTGCACCACTTCTGAGCCAGGTATACTCTTCACCCATGTGTAGATTGTGTAATGCATAAGGGTGGAAATTGAGAGGTGTAAATTGGCTAGGGTGTGCCGGACCATACTTGGCAAGTCAACTACATCCAAAACCTCCTTGTGGGGTACCAATATCCACATGAGGGTAGGATGAGGATCGTACCATGTTTACCTAAACCCAAGAATAGGAATTAAGACCTGCACTGATTACTGGGTATGACACTAAGATCATCACCGATCTATCAATCTGGGAATTGACATTGGGTATCAAAAGGATGTCTATCGCATGAAATCAACTCCCCCAACCATGGCACAGGCTGGCACCATCCAAAGGCAATAACATCCCCATAAAAAGAGAACAAGGGATAGTCAAGAATAGAAATGGAACAATCCCACAAATTACCGCTGTGATCACAGACACAGATGGAGCAATTGGGGAGGAAGATAGACAACCCAAACTCATGTGAGGACTTGTGTTGATTGGTTCACTGTAGTCCAAAACCTCTACACTGGGAACCAACTTCCACATGATTGTAGGATGAGGTCTTCCAATCGAAAGGGTGAACTGCAATTGCGATGGCTTAACTCCAGTGTTTATGTGGCCTCCCACTTCCTTTTACATCTTCCTGTAAGGCAACAGCTCAACTCCCATGGATGCATAAATAGTATCAGGAGGCTACATCAACCAGGAAGGTGACAGCTCAACTACACTGAGTAAGTAGTAGGTATCAAGAGGCCACCTCAACCAGAAGATGACAGCTCAACTCCAGTTGTTGTGTAAATGTTAGCAGGAGGCCACGTCACCTATGAAGGTAAAAACTTGACTCCAGTACCTGTGTAAATGATGTCAGGAGGCCACATTATCCAGTAACAGCTCAACTCCAGTTTTGTTCTGTAAATATGATCCTGAGACCACGTCAGCCAGGACGGTGACAGCTCAACTCCTCTGGAGGCCAAATCGCACCTACACCAGCAGAACATCAATGCCCTACTCTCAAATGAATGGTTCTAACCTTTTACCTGTGGAACTGGAAGTGGTGAGAACTCCCATACTCCACTCCAGGAAGGGAGGGTGACAACATGATGGAGATCTCGGGGGTATCATCATTGGAGACAGTGCAATAGGTGACCACAAAACCTTGTTTTGAAAAGCAGACCATACCGAATTATTCACTCGAAGAATGGCAGGGATGGCCAGCAATCCCCTTCTGCATTACCCATGTAGTCCATGGGCGGTATGGTGATGAATGGCCATGTTTACGGAGCAATTATCATGAGGTAATTAACCGTCAAGCAATCTTATAGAACACCTCATCTCGACAGTGAGCGTGCAAGGTCATGGACGAGAGAGAGAGAGAATCAGTCAACATGGCTGACAGTGCAGATTTAGAGTTACAGAATACCTGGTCAGGAACCACTCACACACAGCGGGATCCATGTGATAAAAAGAGAGAGAAAGGCCCCTGAAAAAAGAAAACTTACCAGTTAAACTTGCATCAAAATCTGTAGAATGGACACAGATGATAAACAAAACCCAGATTCAGAGGAAAGTGTGAAACAATAAAGATAGTAGGAGATGAATTTACTGTGAGTGGTCCACATGCCAGATTGTGAAACCTCCTCCATCAGATGATGAAGACAAGAAGCGAGGGAAAAGGTAAGATGTCAGATCTGATGGGAGGAAACATGGAATATGGTATGGGAGGAAGAAGGCAGGGAAAAGTAGGCCAAATAAACCAAAAAGTGGGCCTAATTTGTAAGGGTAGAAGGTGAAAGATCACAAAGTGAAGAGGATTGCCAGAGGATAAAACAACAAAGGGCCCTGACCATCACAGAAGGCTATCCAGATCCGGTCGAGGGTAGAGATGGGATATTGAAGGAAGGGAAATGGGAGAAAAGGATGAACAACCCTCCCCAGCTGCTGAGGTCTTAGAGAGAAAGGAACGATCAAGATAAAGGAGAAGATAGGTAGGGTAATAAAGGGTACATGAAATGTCAATGGCAAACAAATCAGACCATTAATGTCCACAGACCAAGAGAAGAAGGAAATATGTTTTAAGGGACAGATGAAACAAGGAGCACGAGGAAAGTGGTGATTCACACGGAGGTAAAGTAAGGGCATGGAGGACCACATTAATGTCCCAATCTGGAAGGGCAGGATGCCTTAGAGGCCTCCAAATCCAAAAGGAACACATGAGCATGGTAAGAACAGGGAAAGTGAAAACCCTATGGTAAGGTATGAGATAGGGTGCCCAGTATCCAGAAAACAAGGAGACTGAAAACTGACAGTCGAGGAGCCAGGTGAGAAACTCCACCATACGAACCACTGAATGCTTGTCAACAGGAAATCCCCTGTCAGCAGACCAACAGCGGAAGGAGGTGACTAACCAATAGGGTGTAATTAGGAAGACTCGACAAGGAGTGGAGTGGACAAGAGAAATCACCCGATGAAGCAATCAGATTGGAGGGTACACATAAAGATATTGGGTGACCAATCCTGGCTGAAGGCATCAACCTCCAAAGCCTGCAGATGTGGTACAGGTGACCAAAAGAGGGGCAACTTGGTATTGTTTCTAGCATTGTAAGCCTGCATACTTACCACTGTGGCTTATGATTACCTAACTTAGTAACATAGTTGAGTACAAGAACATCAATCCCATCTGAAAATAGGCACTTCCATAAATCACAAGGGCATAGTTTAAAACGATTCATACTTAAATATAAATATTCTAGTAACTTGTCAACTGCTATTGCCATTTGCTTCAGCTACAAAGTCAAATTTCTTTGTTGCAATACTCACCCTAGCTTTTGGAAGTTTCTCTGGATCAAACTGTTTGTACCTCAATCTTCCTTCACAATTTAAAAAAGGCATTTTGCTTGTAGCGTCTCTAAGTAAAGAAATCTAAATATGTTACTCAAGTACATGTTTGTACTTCCATCTATCTTGAAAAGAAAATCACAAAATATAGACACAATGGTTTTTTTTTGTTTTGCTATTTTTTTTTATATCAAAAAAATTTAATTTTGTGCTAATAGACTAGACAGAAGGCAGCTATGCAACAGCACCTACTGCCAAATCATAGGCTACTCCATTCAAATGGTGAGATCTGCTCATCACTCTTATAATGCACCTGGTCCCAGATGTGGAGCATAACTTTCTCTGGCTATTAAAGCTAGACAATTAATGGAATTTGCTAATCAAAAAATCATGCTCATTAATTGATTACATTCAATTAATCTATTATTCTCACATAAGACTTGAACAGATGGAATCAATTCAAAAATAGTAATAATTAGAAAGACTAATTTCAATTAGTTATTTTCATGACATTGATCAATTAAATAGTAATTTTGATCAACTGTTTATTTCATGTGACACTAACCAATGTAATTGATGTTTATAAGCAATCAACCAGTTTAATCATCTAGCTCTACTGGCTAAAAGACATGAACTATAGACTCTCAGATTCACAGACCAGCAAGGTAACCATTGCACCACATCCAGCCCCTAAGTGCAATAGAATTTACAATGTGGAATAACAATTAGCCATGATAATCAAAACTATTCAAAACTAGCATAAGGCCTAAATATAATATAGTAGCTAAAGATTAGAAATCTTTGATATTATACTATGGTTGTAAACTGAAAAAAAAATCAGAAAATGTTATATTACTAGCTTTTTCTACCTGTGAAAATACTAGTTTGTATAGGTTATTAATTCTGTCCCCAGTGCAATTATTTTATAAACAAATGAAAGAGTTTATTTTCTTAAGTAAACATTAGAATACCTACATAGTGTCTTTATTAATAAAAGGTTGAAGATGTGGAATTCTGTGGAAATTTTGAAATACTCTTCTGTCAAAAATAGTTATTAATGCAAAACTTACTTTGTTATATTTCTGATTCCAGCCAGCACAAACCAACAAAATTACTACTAGTACTAGTGAAAATATTACACTTTTCAATTTTTCTACTCCCACCTTTATGGTCTGAAGAAATTCTATTCTCAACTTACCCAGAGACTTCTGACTAATCCAGTGACAATAATTTTCACACAATCTCAGAATGGACTACTTGTACACTTACAATTTGCATCTATAAAAACTTATAAGTAATAAAAAGAACTTAGACTTTATTACAAATTTGTCTAAAATATACCAAGAAACCAAAATTAACTTACATTATCGTTAAACTCAATTCGTTTATACTATATAATAATTAATACAGCGCATATGGCTAGTAAGTCTCAATTGTAATTGTACAATACAATATACAAAATAGTCCAAAGGTAACAACTAACAGTAACATATATAACCTCGAAGTACTACACTATCTACAGCATCTTATCTTCTATAATAAAATAATCTCGGTTATCATTGGAAGTAGAACAACGTTCCGAAATGGGTCAAACATGGTGACATAACTTCATCATTATCATGATAATGCGTTAAAATTAAATGTTATCAAAATCGGGTAAATATCTCACTTAGTCACTATCAATATACTATTATTAACCTTATTAACTCTGACATTGTAACATATTACAAAACGCATGACCATTTCAATTAAGTATTAAAGAAAGACACTAAAAGTAGAACTAGAGTAGAAGTTGAACTTTACGACTATTTCAGTATGGGATGAAACTATTCTCATTCGTGAAGCAACTTTCATTAAAATAAAATTATGTAACTTACATTCAGTGATTCACAATATGTTACTCATGTAAACATCAGAGATCATTCTTTAAGTTTAACCTTTACTTAATACGTTTGTTCAGTCGTATTATGCGCTTCAAGTTCATGGGAGGGTCAGATTCAATGTGATCTCTTTAAAATAGACTGTCGCAATGCTATCGAGTTATTCATGAAATCAGGGTTTTAAGTTTAACACTAATGCGTATACGCCGAAATTAATACGCTA